TTAAAATTTAAAATTTTAAAAAATAAATTATTAATAAATAAGAATAATATTATACTATAATATAAATTATTTATCATAAATCTAAAATACAATTTACTTATAAAAAAATATCTATTTATATAAATTTTAAATATAATTTATATATTTAAATATGATATTTATTTATATATAATTTATTATAAATTTTAATTACATATAATAAATATTTATTATTTACCCCGTAAATTACACAGGCTAAAATAATAAAATACTAGTGATAGAAAACAGACAAATTAAAGGTAAAACTAAAGTGCCAAATCTAAAGTATGTTAATTGAAAAGTTAAAAAAGAGTTGATCTGATCATCAAATTAATTTGATTTTTTTAAATGAATAAATAAATAAATCTGAGTACCCAACAAATTATAATAAGTTTAATTAGAATTTTTTAAATAAAAACCAATTAACAAACCAACTTAAATTAGTTTATTTATAATTTTCAAATTTATGGAGCTATCCACTTCACACCCGTAAGAAAATATCCACAAACCCTCAAATATAAAAGAAATAGGTCCTAATTCAAACTATACATTTTTATGTAATGCAGTACATGTCAACCCCCATAACCATTTCTATTCACCTCCCATGTGTGGGGAAAAGAATAACACCTATGAAAATGGTTTTTAATATGTCAATTTTTTTTTCTTTCCATTAGTGGATATCGAATCATCTTGCTCAAGTGAGCATGAATTCAATAAAACTTTTAAAAATACTTGTAAATTTATATTTAAACATGTTTTGAATCTAGACTCTTCTTATTTTTTCAGTCATCTCAAGTTACTAAACATGACTTATGTTTTGGACTTCAACATGTTAATGCAAATGTTCTTAATATTACCAATCCTAGATGCAAACGAGAAACTATTTGTACCTTTTAAAAATAAAAGTTTTTAAAGACAAAAAAAAAAAAATAGAGGCAGAACAAAGAGGGCATATTCGGTATAATAGCAAGGAAAAATTAATTGGATATGTATATCAAAGGTAGCATCCCACTCCCACAGGCCCACACTTTGGTGCATATATTCTTGCATTGCACCCTCTTTTTCTCTTCGCTATTCGATTCTTGAACCCTGTTTAATATAGGCAAAAAAAATTGTTCTTCACAAATATTAATTTTACATGTAAATTACTATACAAGAATTTGATTCTATGGTAATTTTTTCATATGATTCTGATTAGTTATTCTTAAATTCGTGAAATTTTTGTAGCGAGAAGGTTTTAAGAGTTTAGCACGGATGTTACGAGAAGTACTCCCCCAATGTAGCCAAAAATAAAAATCCGTCATTTTTTTCTCTCCTCAAACCTTGTATTTACACGATTTAAGCTACTAATAATATATATTCAGCTACTAATTAATAATTAATACATCTCGGTTAATTATGACGGCTGGGTACTTTAGACTCTAGAAGATTTAATAATATATGTTCAGCCACTAATTAGTATGTGCCGTTATATCCTATGCGACAGCTTCTATGAAAGTACGAGGTATACTGTATGCATATTTAAATCTTGCATTGCATTTTTATTTTTCTTGACTCAGACTCTTCTCCTTCTTTGTGGGATCATTTTAATATTGAATAATCATTTTAAAAATTTGTAATACACATTAATGTTTTATTATTAAATTAGTATTTATCATCAAAACCTTCCTACTACTTGACCTGTTCTAAATTTCAGTTTATTATTTCTTCAATCGTCATCAGCAAAATTATTTATCAGCTGAGAAAGGAACAAAATCCCCTGCCTCTCATGTCATATTTTGGTTATGTATTTTTTTTTTTCTAGTCTATAATTTAATAACATAGTAGTATTTGCCCACAAAGTGTCATCATTAATATGTATTATGAAAGAACGAAAATCATGTGGCAATAGTTTAATTAGATTGGAATCAAAATCTTGCTCTCTGGTGTGGCAAGTGGTAATTTAATTTGAATGGACCAAACGCGCAAGCAAGGAATTTCAGGAGCCATCAAATCAGAGGAAAACTTACACAGCAATCAAATTCCTAATTACGAAAATTATAACCTTTTTCATCACACTATACCCCTGAATTCAATAATCCCACTCCACCACCAACTTCGCACACCAACCACCTTTTCCTTCCACGTCTCAAACTGCGTACTTGAAATTCTCCAATTGAATCCATTTAGAAATTAACCCATAAAACTAGCTGCCCAGCACCACCTTCATAATCACAAAAGGATTGGGTATTTTTTTCATGGGGGGCCAACAAAAGAAGATTGGTCAAACTCAAAGGAGGAGGAATGAGATCATGGGTTTCACGGTTTCTCACAACAAGCCTTCAGGGTTTGACCTGATGCAGAACTGTGATCTTCCTCCACCCTCCAAGGTTTTCATGGGTACAGATAAGAGTGTTATACTGTCCATGAATAGGGTGTATAACATTGCAGGCAAAGGAGAAGAGGAAGATAAAAAAAACTCTGGTGCTTATAGGATTGAAAATGGTGATGATGAAAGGGATAAAATGGAGCTTCTCAAGGCACTGCAAGCGTCTCAGACAAGGGCAAGGGAGGCAGAAAAGAAGGCTTCGATTCTGAGAAAAGAAAAAGAGGGTCTTTCTATGGCTTTGTTGGAGGAGGCCATGCACTTGTTTGCGTATCGGCAACAAGTGAGATTGCTTGAGCTTCAAGCTTTGCACTTGAAACAATCCCTTTGGCTGCATCAACAACCCGAGGGAGATGGCTATGATGAAGAAAGCACTAGTTTTGCGTGGGTTCTGGCTTTGGTTCTTTCATTGGGAATTGGAGTCACCACCGCCCTTGCTTGGAGATACTATCTATGAATATCCCCTCTGCTGCCATTGGAACCGTTTTCTGACATGGGAGACGATTTGCATATACAATTTTTAACTTTATATTTATACACATCTCTGTAACCTATCAATTATACGTAGTATTATTTTGTGTTTAATCGAGTCGCGTAATCAATTATATTACTCTCACTGTTTCACAGTCGCGTTGAAGTCAAATGATGTTTAAGAGTGTTTTTATAGAAGAAAACTCACAACTCACAACCAATATACACGATGAGGAACTTCTGCTTTATATACATTAATTTATAAACTGTACATTTTCTTACTCGCATGTATAATGTAAATGCATACCACTTGGCTAAATTTACACATCTCAGAAAAATGGTGGTAAGCAAACGACTATTTATATGATGGCCATGTGTATATCTCTCAGATGGTTATAACATTCATCACTACTAGTATAGAACTCTAAGCAAACCCAGCAGACATGCTTTCCACACTTGCACTCAACGTGGTTGCACCCATCTATCTTCTCAATTACATACCCACACGCCGGGCAGCACCTAACTTGATCTTTCCCTTTGCACCACTCTATCAGAGATGAGTCTGGATCTTCCTTGAATTCTTTATATCTCTCGCATGAAATGTAAGGATGATACTCAAAGTGGCACCTGGTACAAGTCTCTGAATAACAGGCCCCACAAACAAATGGCTCACCAGCAGTATCAGGACCTGAAACTCGGTAAATTGAGGGGCAATCAGGAGAGGGGCAAAACCTGTAAGTTCCACCACTCTTTGCCACAAAAGCTCCCAAAGAAGCTCTGAAAAGATCCTCCAACTTATCAAATAAGAGAGATCTCAAATCTGTCAGAAGAATGGGATCTCCACAGTCCGCGTGAGTACAACATACTGGGAAAATGCCTTGGTTTTTAACAGCCGATTCACATTGTTCCACCAGACACAACCGGCAGAACAAATGACCACACCCTTCAAGCAAGTACCCATCCTCAACCTCACACAAGCAAATCGGGCAGCTAGGTCCAGTTTCAACTCTCTCAACCAAATGATGGCTGGAACGAGCAATGTCAAAAATTATTTCATCTACTCTTGCTTTCAACTCCTTGTTACCATGAAAATTGATTACCTGGCGGCGTATATTGAGTGAAAGATCCACCCCAGGTACCTTCTCTTTCAGTCCACGGAGATCTGGCCCGAAATTCTTAATCATTCGCTTCATTAAATCAGGAGGTAGATTCCTCCCTCTCAGATGAATTTCTAACTGCTTTCCTTCATGGAGATAAAGGAGTGATTGAATCAGCTTCTCCTGAACCAAAGCAACCTTGTCCGGGGAACCAAACACCCGTAAATTCAAGTTGTGCCTGTCAAAAAGAATGTAAGTTCCTGTTTCTTGCTGCAATGAGCTTTTAAGATTAAAGCCATCCCTGGAAAACATGAGCTGAAGAACTGCAGGGGTGAGGCTGTCATGGTCAATGGTTTTCCCTCTCAATAGCTCTTCCAAAGGTCTCCTAACTTCTGCAACTGTCTTTGTGGCATTGGCTGTTATCTTCACTCGGTGGGAACCATTAACTGTCTTGTCCAGGTTCCATTCAAGACCTTAATCAAGAAGACCAAAGATTGTCAGCTGCTAAATTTTAATAATAAAACTTTTGAAAACATGCAATTAAAAAGTTGTCTCACAATATAAATAGGCTTCCAACAACAATTATAATAGATTTATCTATCCCACTGAGCAACGTTGGCTACATGGACCACTTAAGCAATTAAAAGAAACAATTATTCAACAAGGACTGACAAATAGACAAGCAAGAAATCAACATCTTTTTTCAAAAGAAAATTGTATGTAGCAGCCACGAAAGTTGTGGGTAAAAATGTTTAGCAACCACTAAAAAAGGCATTAATAGATGAATTACAACTTGCATGCATTTGCAAAAGAAAAAGAACAAAATAATGAAGTACCTCTAAAATTTCTGAAGCTTGCCAGTACTTTATCCAGTTGTTCCTTAATCACACGATACACTGGAACAGGAAACGTCAAGTTGCTATGAAACAACTGCTGGCACTTCATCTTTTGCCATGAAAGGCATCCAGGTAACACCTTTCCTTCAATTTGCTCCAATGCTTTTGCTGCCTCCAAATGTAATCTTCCATCAAAAGTGATTAAAGCTCTCATGTATGCATCTTTTGGCTCAGGTGCAAACACCTGAACTCGGCAAGAACTAATATGTGGGTTTATTTTTGGCATAAAGGGGTAAATTTCTTTTTGAAGTGCCTCTTCACAATAACTGCATGGTGGATTTCCAACAGCATCCCCTCTCACCAAAAAAAAATCAAAAATCTTTCTACTTGTAGCACTTCTTAGTACATCCAATATTTCAACTTCAGATAACTCTTTGTCAAGTCCACGTATCAAAATACTGTCTGTACTCCTATTACTAATTTGACATTGAACATACCTTCCCCCTATTGCAAGGTTATAGAAATCTCTCAACATAAAATTGACATCCTTCATATCACATTTAACTACAGCAAATCCCTTGCTAAGCCTACGAGGCCAAGAAATTTTTGCTTTAACAGCAGGGAATGAAAATGTTTTGTCCCCTCCCAACTGTGAAGGAACAATTTTCAAGGGGGATCCACAAAACTCCCATCCATCTAGCTCAGTAGCCCTTCTGGCAGCATCAGGGGACAGATATGTTATCCTGCCCCACTTTTCTTTATCCTCATCCTTCATATTGCTCGCAAATTTGTGCACAGCACAGATGTAACCAGAGGTATTGTTCTCAAGAAACATCAAGAGCTCCTTGTCATCAATTGCATTAATGTCTGGATGACACACATCAACACTCAAGAAACGTTTCTCAAGTTCCAGATGCTTTATTTCACCACCAGACCCAAACAAAGCTACTGGTGGAGAGGAACCAGACCCGTGATACAAATACTTCTCCATACATTCAGTGTGTAACCACTTCCTCTCATATTCTAAGACATCATTAACTAATCCAAGGGCCGTATCCATATCATTTGAAGCGGCATATAACTGGATTTCATTCTGCTCAACAAGCACTTCAATGAAGATGCGTTCATCCATGCAAGCTTTCCTTATCCGTGAAACAAGACCAAGCAAATTACTGTTGGCTTTTCCACAAAATCTCTTGAGAAGAACACAGCCAAAACCAGTTAGTGTCTTCATCTGCAATTTCCGCTCTTCCATTTTGAATACATCA